TGCTTTACTCACAGTAGACGTGGAAAAAAAGTTAATCCTCTTCTTTTAAACTACACATTTTTATATACTTTAACATCAGTATCATGTTTCCTTTTAGTCTTCATTCTTCTAAACAATGCCATTTTCTTCAGCCTTTCCTCTTACATTGTTTTTAGACCTCCAATCATGTTCATTTTCTTGGTATTCAGTAGTAATGCATTCCATAAATTTCTGTTGGGATGCTGGAAAAGGCTTGTACATTTGGCTCCATACACTAATGAAAATATTTGTGCCTTCTACTAACTATGAAATGTTTGCTCTAGATTATATAGAGTGGAATTTGTTTTACAGTACTGCAAAGAGAGTTCACTGTGATGAAGAGCTATGAGGAGACCCAACACTGAATGACCACAGCCGTTCTCAGCACTTCTGCTCAGAACAAATGTAAACGACGCTTGTGCAGTGTTCCGTGGCAAACTCATTAAGAGACATCGTTACTGGAAAGATTCTCCACTCTGAGAAATGTCTGTGTATCTGCGTCAGAATTTGGCAGTAAAAACACCAGCACAGATATATTTTTTTTAAATACACGTTTTTAAGACCATTTCACGACACTAAAAATGTCATTGTAAAAAAGCTCTACTTGTAATGTTGAATATATGAACATCTTACCTCATATAGTTATTTCTTAATTATTACAGAGCTGAATTAGCATCATGTAGAGGTTGGCAAAGAGTACACATTCCAGGCAAGACCTGCTTCTTTTTAAGTGTAGTATCCTATTTCAGAAAACTTGTATTCAAAGCAAGGCCAAATACAGAAGTTTTTTCAGAGTGGACTGCATTTTGATCAATATTACATGAATAATTTTCTTTTTAAACAAGTAGTATGCAAGAGGAATCACATTAAAATAGTGATAGCTAATTCAACCATTTTAAAATATCACAAAGAATCTTGCATCCACCTGAAAAAAATGAATTATCACTAAATAAGTAAAGGCCTCCCTTTTCACATGGATGTGTAATTATGACTCCTGATATCATGCTCTAATCGTATTTTAAGCAATGAATAAATCATGCTGGTTTGCTCCATTTCATAGAAAGAATATACATATTATTTACCTAACCCACTACAATGCCACAGAATTGTCAATTTATGTTCAATGTTATATTGAAACGTAGTCTTATTTTGAGAGGTCAGGAAGAACATAACCTTCCACACACCCATCTTGCTACTCTGTGATTTCTTTCTTTTGTAGCAATTGAGTCACTCTTTACATAGAGAGCAGTTCTTATATACCCTAACAGATACACTGAGTTTCTCTTCATGGAGCCCAACTAAATCTCCATAGCATGGAGTCAAAGAGTTTTCTCATTCATTCATGTGTCCAGCTGATTGCCATTTCTGTCCTTTCTAACCATAATACATCAGTTTTTCTTTCATCTATTCAGGCACCTAAAGCCCTAACTCTCAACCAAGGAGCAAAAAGGAATCGAGGAAAAACTTTTTTCATAATTATATCTGTTGGCTTGTTCTTGATATTCACACACACTTTAGCAGTTCAGCAAGCTATTTTCCATTGATTTTATTCAATGATCTCTAAGGATCTTACTTGTAAGCCTTGGTATGCCTCTGCTAGTACATGAAGACCCTAACTTCCCTGCAGAGCAAACTATTATTACCCATTTGCTAGCAGTTAAAGCTGGGATAACATGACATCATGCTCATTACACTCATACTTAGGTGCTTTTTTTTAATCTAGCCATTAGTTATTAAAGAGAAAATATAAGTATAATTTCAATTTAAAAATTATTCAGACACTTGGCTATTTACAGTTCTCCTACAGTTCTCCTATTTACAGTGCTCCTACAGAATTCGGACTCCAGACAAACAGCCCCCTCACACAAGCTGTACTGATAAAGCAAATGACATGAAGTAACTAATTTGTAAAACCTTCTAGCCAGTTCTAGAAGGTCTTTAAGTATAAACTCCTACATTAAGTAGAATCTGAACTTCAGCTCCCCATCTATTAAACTGGAATGATAGCACTTTGCTATCTCATAGGGAAGTTAAGAAGATAAACACCTCAATCTTCAGTGATGGGAGACAGAGGAGTTCCTTAGCTAAAACAAGAACACTACAAATTCCTTTGCCTGGTGGCATTTTGATAGATATAATGAATGCTGTGTTATCTAAGAACTTCAAGGGATATGGATAAGTATTAAAAATCAAGCCTGTATCTTCAGTGAAATAATATTATAGATGCCTAAAGCACTTCTTCACAGTTTGAAGAGCTGAGAAGCTGTCTGTGGACAGCTCTGGCAGAAAGAATCCTTTTCTTTTCCTGACTTCCTCTCATCTAATGTGTACTCGGAGCACATCTTCCTGTGCAGCTGGAGGCTTTGTTACAGACAGGAGGACGCTGCTTCATGTAGCCAGTGTTTACTGCCTAACTTTTTTTTTAAACATGAATTTGGAAAATTTCCCAGATAATACATCTGCCCCTACTACTTGCACCTCAGAGTGCAAGACCAGCCAGGGAGGTAGTGAGGACAACCGCATTTATTAGCAATGAATAAACTGATCTATCTTTTTCTGGATTAGCAGTGGGAGATTCCAGACGCATTAAGAAGTATCTGTCTGCTGAATGACATATACATGCTGGCACACTTTTGTGTCAAGAATGTACACAGCTGCATGCACACTAAAGCCGTTCCATCTATAAAGCACAATTGCCAACTGCTTGTCTTCTGAGATGGGCAATAAGAGAGGGTCTCAACAACAAAACGAGTGCAGAGTACAATTAAAGAATATTTTTCATTCCCTTAAGTGTCTTTCTTTCTAAAATCTCCATCAGGTTTTAGAAGAAGGACTGATGATCTACTTAGAAAAACACAGTTTTCTATTTCTCAAAAACTTTAATGAGTTCAAGTACCTGAATTACACATTTTTAGGTAACAAAACAGGCTGATTTAACCTGATTGTCAGTCATTACCAGCAGATGTCTGGATAAATTGCCTAGCATGTTTTGGTTCTAGGTCATCTCCAGATACTCAGACTAATAGCTGGTTGAAAGGAAAGAAGACAATCCAAAGCAATAATAAATCATATTTATGCACACAGCATTACCAGTCATCAGATGCCAGTATGAAGGGCTCTTTATTTTAACATCTTCTTCCAACTTGTCTGTCCAAAGTCTCTCAAATCACCTCAGTCATCTCAAAAAACCTTAGTCAAGGCCTCAGTCTCAGATTATGGAGCATAACCAAACCTCAGACTGAATCGGTGCTTGTGTAGATTAGTGTTGGGTTTGCTTGGTTACAGATAAGACAGTTATGTTAAAAATCCCAGTAGTGTATTATCCTCATCCTCCAACACTCTCAGAGATTTCTGATGCGAAGTAATAAACTCAGTGATACCCCTAATTCTTTACCAATTTTATTAAACTATTTAACTATACTGCAGTGATGGGGCTGACTGAAGCTCCAGTGAGAAAAACTGCAGCTCACAATTCCTTTGGTGTTTAGATCATTACAACTGGCAACAGAAGAAACACATCTTTTTTTTTTTTTTTACTAATTATACACTAAAGTGTGCAAACTCTGATGTCAGGAAAACCATCAAGCAATTTGGATGAGGAAAGGAGCCCAACAGCTGTTCCTACAGATTCCTGCACAGACAGGTTTTGCAAGTCAACATGGTGTCAATATTTAACTAACACATTATCACTTGTTATATTATTTGACTATCAGTCAAGTAAGCACCTAGCAAGAAAAAAAAAATTGTAGTCTTCAACATTTTTTTTTTTAATCAAATGCACTGGGTGATCATAGACAGATGAGAAAGTGATTTTTGTTTTATACAAAAACTGAATTTGCACACACACGTACTTGCAAGTACCAAGATACCTGTGCTCGCATATTCTTGCCAGAATTACCTATGGTGGCCCAGAAGACAAGGGGTGCCAGCTACTCAGTCCTCTTCAAATCTTTGGCGTTCTTTTGGGTGTCAACAACACTGTATGCTTTTTACAGCCCTTATCTGTCTTAACAAATAAGGATCAGTACTTGGTTAAGTTGTACCACACTGTGTTGTGGCCTTTGCTCTATCAGCATGCCATCCAACGCTTGCACTGTTCCTTGATTGCTCTTGGATTTCCTCTTGCTGCTGTCAGTCTCATGACTTGACATGTATATACACAAACACAACTTTCTTACACCTTTTGGTATTTTTTTTAAACCTTCAGCTCTGCCATTTCCTCTCGTGCTTTTAAAAACCCATACTTCATAAACACTAAAGCAATATTTCAGTTACAGACCTCTGCAACATCTCAAACACACAACTAGGTTCATCTAGATATTTTTCTGAAAAACAGACTGTCCATATCTTTGCTTTATCTAAGAATTGAAGACATCTGCAAGTGATGAGAATCAGAGAACATAGGATAATTGGTCTGCTTTATTCTGAAAAATGTCCAGTTCCAAAATAACTAATCAAAAGAGATAGGACATCATACCCAGTGGCTCAGAAACAGCAGACACCTGTCAGATTAGCAGCCTTTTTTCTTTCCTTAACAAAACAAAGAGCACCACAACACAAATGTTCTGGACACTGAAGAAAGCACTTTTTGAGTGCTCATGCAACCTCAGAAACCTTCAAAAAGATAGCAAAGAAAACATGCCTCGGTATTTGCTGCAAATTCACTGAAAAGTTTTTATCCCAGAAGAATAAATAAAATCCATCTTCTATTTACCACTAGAAAATCAGTCAAATATAGAGCAATATTTGCTATCATGGACATCTCTATGTCCAAAGGCAAGGGAATACAAATCACATATGTACAATAACATTTTCCATAGGCTTTTAATGTGAGAATCAAAATAGCCCATACATCACTAACAATCACATTATGCTCATAAATTAAAACCTGTGGATTTTACCATGAAAATTACATATAAGACAATAATAAATGGTAACACAAATGCAGAATACAATTGATACATTTTGTAAGTAATTTAAATTCATTTACCTGTAAAGTAAGTGTTGGTGGGGAGAGTGGAACTAGGAAATCTGTAATATCCATTTCCTGGGAAACGGATCCCTTTCATTACTTCTGTACTGAATGCAGCTAAAGATGAATCCATCCTTTCCACCTGGTAGATGGGTGAAGGTCCATTAAGTTCTTCAGGTTCACTCCAATTTATCTTCACCGTTGTACTGTTCATTCCTTCAACATGAGGTGCACTAAGTTCTCTTGGAGCTGTGCATTAAAGAAAAAAATAAATCTATCATGACACATAATACTTAGGAAATTATTTATTGCATATAACATAATTTTTGCAAAACATCCTGCTTCATGAAGTTTCTGCTCATCTTAACGATAAACACAGATATCCATAGAAGCTTAAGTTGTGAAAAAAACAACAAACCACCACAACAAAAAACCCAAACCAAACAAAAAACCCATATTCTTATTATTTATAGGAACTTACTTTCAATTCTATAAGAAATATCTTATTTGTTTATTCAGGCTTTCGATAAATGTCTCTAGTATTACATCCAAAATATATTTTTTTCATAATTTTTAAGAATCTGAATCAACATCTTCAGAAAAAAGTACATTTGCGTTCTTTCCTTGATTGGCCTCTCATGCCATACTCACTATAAGCACATAGCTGTATCGCTTTCAGCACTGGATTTGAGTGAAAGACCAAAGGAGAATATGAACAGTTAATTAACTCTTGTTACATCTCAGCAGTATGCAACATGACAACATGAGTCTTTCATCACTGAACTCATCCTAGTCAACAGAAGCAGAACAGTTATCCATCCACAATACTGAAGGCCCTCCAGGTTGTTTTCCTCATGGTGCACACACAAGACATTAGCATATGTTCAGATAATTATTCAGTTCATGAAAATGATCCTCTCTTACTTTTCTCCACCAACACTGGTGCACAGTAAGACTCCATACAAGACTGTTTCCATGAAGGTATCAGCACAAGGTAGTTTTATGTTATTACAGTGATCCTCCTACCATTAAAACCAACACACTGATACTCTTTTAAACGTTCTGATAGCAGTAGTCACTCTATAGTTGAGTTATGAGCAAAATTATGCTTGTGGTTTGTTTGTTGTTTTTTTTTAATACTGTACAGTAAGTCACTGGAGGGCAGCATGACCTGTTTGGAGAACGGCATGATGGCCATATAGGTGGCAAAGAAATGGACCATCACTGAAACAATCAAGGCATCTGAAGTACAAGACTCTATTACCTACAGAATCTATATCCATCTTGTATTCCCTTTTTTCCTTCCTCATTTGTACCCAGGAAGTGAAATACAATGACAACTTGTAAAAATTACTTGTTCCCATAATGACATAGTAAAGAGCAATAAATGCCTTTCAAGAACAATAAAACCTGAATTAAAATATGGGCCTTTGAAATCTGACATATTATTTCACAGCACAGCATTGTACATAGTAAAAGTTCTTTAGAGCGGGAGAGACTGCTTCATTTAGAAAGAATTAATAACATCCTTTTAAACATTCACGCATTTCCAAGATCATTTACATATTTTTTTTTCATTTTTCCTATTTGCCTGTAGCATGTTGCTACATTTTTTTATTCTTTTCTTCTCCCCCCCACCCCCCCCCCCCCTTCCTAACTTGATAAATATTCTTCTTGGAGAAAGCAGAGAGTGGGGGAACTGGGAAACTGCCAATGACACTATATGCTGTAAATTCCTGCTTAGGCATCATTTATGACTTCACAATCTAATTAGTATCTCACACTATGGTAGAAATTTACAATGTCAAAATTGAAGTAATGCAGCGTGAGGTCATAAGCTTTCCTGCATAAGTAGGGCACAGCACTAATGAATTGTGGTATTAATGTACAAGTTTAAATAGAAAACATGGCTTAACAATCAAAACTTCACCTTTGGAGGGAACTAGAGTACGTCAGCATTTTAAATGCAAACATAAGAGGTTAAGCCCTCCAGTACTGATGGTAAAACAGAAACGCTAAAATTCATTATTTCTAAAACACATACAGCTAAGCAACACTCATGACAATAACTGTATCTTCCTTTAAATTCTAGTATTAATAAACGGCAGTTACTGGGACCATAATTATGGCATCTCTGATACCCAAACCTGAAGCTTTTATGGGGCCTATGCAATTAACTACTTAAATGCATCGTAACACTTGCTTCTCTGACAGGGAAGTATTGATTTTTTAATCATTTTCAACTCTCCTCTAGCACAAATAAATGTACTACAGTTACAGTTAATGCACTGTGTACACGCATTAAACAGTGGCATGACACAATTTATTATTTTGTGATATATGGAACAGAAGCCTACCCTTTCAGAAAGTAACATCCTTGCTATAACATTAGTATTTAAACTACAGTCTCATTGATGCTTCACAATTCTTGTGCATCAAGACAGCAGAAGACTGTACATAATAGGTTACATAAGTTAAAAAACAAAACAAAACAGAACAACCCAGAAAATCGAACTCTGCACGGGAACAGGCAGGACTGAAAAGGAATCTGTTGCATTAGCCCAGCAGGGTACTAAATGCTGAAATTTAAAATATTCAAGACTAAAAGATACAGTATATATTTTCCTAAAGGTGTCACTGTGGTACCTGTAGCTACTTTCTGAAAGACGAATCGACTACAATTTTACCTATTTAATTTTTTTTAGTCACGTTCTGTTAAGACACATCTGTCAAAATAATGAGTGTACTACATTTTAGTGAATTCAAAGTCACATTTTGTGTATTTTAATTATGTAGTTTTAATGTCTTGCTATATAATACATATTTAATATATTATAAAGCTAAAACAGTATTTAAAAGCCCATGATTGCTGCATGCCGTTGTGTAGCAGAGGGCACAAAAAAGACCAATAAAGACAGATGGTCCATACAGCTTATGTTGAAGTCATATATCTAAATATAGATGTTGCTACACAGGTCATTACAAATAAGCCTTTCCCATGTGTGCATGCACACACATGTACACAAAAATGAAGTTGGTAAGTAAAGAGCAGTTAATTTTGTTTTGTTTGAAATAATATCATTTTAGTTTTAGACTCAAAGACAGATGCCAGCATTTCGCTCTGAACAGATGGTAATTCCATCCAATAGTGCATCTCTGTATTAGGAAGGTCTGTTGTGTATACAAACAGTAATAAACACTAGTAAGGATCAAAATAAATTTTAATTGTTGACATTAAATTCTGGCAGCCACAGTTCTAAGGATACAATATTCCTTTCTCAAGTCTGTCAGGTTTACTAATACAACTGTTAAAGCTTTTCCGTACTCTGCCAGATTCTTGTCCCAGGAATAACATATTTACATTGTGGCTAAATTTAACAGTCTTACATATGTTTGAATAACTACTGCTCAGCATATTGTAGGTAGATATTTGTGTATCCTTCCACAGAAGCCTTCAATTAGCCTTCCTGAATAGCTCAGGAAGGTAACAGTAACAAAAAGTATAGAGTTTTTAATTACTCTTCAGCTGAGTTCAAAACACACACATCCAAATTAAAACAAATATTTGGCAAATTTGAGGACAAAACCTCAAAGACAATTTTTATTTTTTTTTTTTTTCATCTTGGAGCCTATCTTGCAGGTAAAACAACATCCCTCAGTACTGGTCATCCATTTCATTTTTGCTACAAGTTATTTGTGCAGAGGACCCAGAGACTGATATAGCATTTCTGGTATAATCTTTTCTTTCTCTGTGCTTCACAATAGTACCAGGCATTTCGACAGTAAATGAGACAGGAAATAATACTTACATCTTCTGACAGTATTTTGATTTTCTTTAGAAAATGGATTCTATGAAATCTATCCATTTTGGATTCTTACCCCAAGAAGAATAAAAACCACCCATAATGGACATCAAAAGAAGATTTAATAACATGGGTATGTTACAATCATATTTCTTTAAAAATAGATCTAATACACAGTATTTTTTAAAAATCATGAAAAATATATTGCTTTCACCATATGGGACAACCAACGACTCACCAACCGATTTAAGATGCAGCATATTGAGCTGACCATATGTTACAGTGCTGTTGAATGGCTGAGTGATTCATGCCCGTCACATTCTAGTATATCAATTAAAGCTCCTTGAAGTCTGCATGATTTGTGTCTCTGTTATTAAACCCTGCTAATTCATCCCACTTACACATCTGTTATAAATCTCTAGGAGTGCTGCATGATTCATGGCAATCTGTGAGCATGGTACAGCAAATTCTTCTCCTTGTAATTAACAGTAAATTGTTTTACTGCCATGCAATGAATTTTTCAGTTATATTGCAAATGAACTCCTAAATGCATGGTTCTTTCCTAAGAACTGACTTATATCATTAGGCAATTAAAAAGTATTGCTTTGAACCAAAAGCTTTTAATCAAGAGGAATGCAACTTAAACATAGTTTAAAAACCTTGCAAATTTGACACAGAGGGAAAAGAACAAACAGAGCTATTTTCTGAAGTATAATATGTGGTTTGTATGGGAGAAGAAACAAATAACTTTTGAGTCCCTAGTTATTTCCTGAAACTCAAAGAGCAGTTTAGCTACAGCTTGAACACTTGGCAAGACAAGTTTGAGCAGATATTATTTATCTCAGAAGTTACTTAAGTCATCTGTCATTAAGAAATTTCTCAGATTATTTTACACTTTTCTAATTGTAAAACAGTATCTTTATTCTTGAAATAAATAATTGGATAATTAGCCAAGCTGAATCATCAGAGGATTCCAATGCTGCTCAAGTGTTCTTGTCAAAGGTGAAACAAATTCATTTCAGCTTTGCCTCTGCAGCTTTCTGAAGAGGCTTTGATATTTTTCTCACTACATTCTTGGCAGCAGCCTCAAATTCATGAGTCCATACATCAAGTCAGTAGTTTAACAACAAATGAAATTAAATTCAAAGAAGGGAAACTAATTGAAGGACAGCAACAAAAGTGTTTGGTAATGTGCTTTTTAATATGGCATGCCACATTTGCATGATAATTTTTCCTTTTTAGCATGGAGCAGAAAGTGACTAGCTTAATGAGGGATTATTCAAGACAGGAATGAACAAAATGCATTCATAACTAAGAACAAAGATTGTATTATGAAACGGAAACAGGCAACTGCCGAGAAGTAACTGGATGATTGGTTTATGCATTATGAATAAAAAGGTAGAAAAATATTTATATTAGTATTCACTAATGACTATATATACAAGA